AATGGCCTTCCCTTCACACAAGATACTGTAATACTGCTCCTCTTTTATCTACCATTTGTCCTTTTGTTTTATGGCTCTCTTTGTTGCAGGCTTCTTTGTTGTTTCTTCCAGATTATGCTCCTCAGGGATTTTTGCATCAGTATGACTGAACATCGCTTGCAGCCATGCCAGATTGCACTGTGATTTTATTGGATTTCACAAACCAAGGTTAGACCAGGTCAGAACTTGGTTGAAATAACGTAGACTACAAGATCGTCTGCTAGCCAGTGGGAACAAGCACAACAAAAACCTGACCTAGAAGCTGATTCAGTCGGCTCAGGCAGACAGTGTTGCCATGCTGATTGCGGTGCATGTGATATAAAGAAGTTCTGACCTGTTCTGGCTGGTAGGATTTCACAGCTTTTTTTGGAGGAAAGTATGGAGGTTAATTCCAGTGTTCTGGCCCAATCCAAATCCTTTAATTCTCTATCAGGATTACACTGCAATTCAATAGAATATTATATTCTCTGATCTTCTTTTCCCTGTACTGTTGTGTGGTGGTGTTTGCCCTCGAAACTCACTCCTGCTGTCCAAAAAGCTGCATTTCTGTGCAGGGTGAAATAGTTTTGAAATTTCTTTGCTTTCCTGATCTTCTGAAGCAAAATAAAGTATACCAGAGCCTTCAAATGAAAGGCCCCAGAAAGACAGAATTTATTAGTAAAAGTAACATACAGAAAATTATAGCTGAGCTTTTCTTAGAGTTGCTTGAGGTTTCTGACCAAAAGACTGCATGAAGATGTGTAAGTACGTTGAGATTTTGCTTCACCGAGTGCATACTAGGTGGAAAATGGCATGCAGTTGTGCTAGAGTGCCCCAAAATGATCCAAAGATTTATTGCATAGATAAGGCTTTTCTAATTATTGTAAAGGTATTTGGACCTGTTTGTGTTATATAGGAATAAGCTATTAAAATCCCTTAAAGTAAACATGTAGGAGGCGAGAAAGTGACTATTGAAAAGTATGTGATGGTGTGAAATAAAGGCCAGAATTAATCTGGCCGGCATGTACCAACCTTTGTTTCATCCCACCCCACACTGAGCCTGAGGGAGGGCTGCTGGAGGATTTGTTTGCCTACATCCGTGCTGGAACAATACTCGTGAAGTTGAGGGAAGAGTAGTACAATCACCTAGAGATACCTTGATGTGCACAGGTGTACATTGATAGACTTAGATCTATTAGAAAAGCTGAATATATCTAGCTAAGCAGCAGCCATTGGGTACAACATAGCCATAAAGCACATTTAAAGAGTGTAAATGGTGAAGCTGCAGAGGCATTGGTGAATGATGTACAAAAGTGCAGAGGTGATCAGGAGTCAGGGAATTAAATACTTCAGACTGGATCAGGAAAAACTTTCTGTCAGTTTAAGCTGTAGAGTGATGTGGTGTCTTTCTGTGAGTATGTAAAATTAGTCTGGGGAACGAAGTCTGTAATGTGTTGTATCTGCTGGAAGAATTTGCTGTGGCAGGATGTGGAACAGATGACCAGCTCTATACCCCCCTGGAGTATTTTCATCTTTTGAAGTTTTTCAGTTTGCTTTTCTCAGTCAGCATCTGTGTTTTGAGTGTCCAAGTTGTGCTTTTTAACTGAGTGAAAATGTTGATCATTGTGACTTTTAAATCCAAGTTTATATACGTTTCTGCATAGACAAAATGGGGAATGTAAAAATAGAATAGGAAGATTAATATTGGATAAAAGTTGGGATTTGCAATCTGATTGGAAATATTTGCCCATTGGCATTGAGGTTACCCATGATTATTCTTAAGAGGTAAATTATCTCTGTCTCGGATAATCCTAATAGTTAGTAGCAAAGCTTGGCACTGCCAGCAGAGATATGGAAGGTGTAGTGCAGAAGAAGGCTGGAAGGAGTCTTTCATCTCTGCCATCCTTTGCCAAGGGCTTACTGTACATGCAAATTCATCAGCTCTTCCATTGTGGAGCATTTATATATCCCGGAGAGGGTGAAATCTGGCAGTTAATTGCTCTGTACACTCAGGGGGCCGTGGAGGAATCTGCAGGATGGGACCAGAGTGTCTGATGTTGCTACAGCATTAATAAATATGTAGGGGAATGTTCTGCAGAAGGCTATGAAGAGCTTTGTTGATTGATTCTGTTCCTACCTCCTCTGTCTTAGGAAGAGCCAGCCTGGCTAATCTTTCTTAGGAAAACAGCATGACTAATGTTCGCCTGCTAACAGATACGCTGGATAAGATTTTGGGGGGGTCTGTTGTTTTCAGCTGTTATTTACAGGATCAATAAAAGTGATTTTCCAATTCAAGGATAATTTTTTACCAACAAGCTGCACAGCCTCTAAGGTCAGAATATTGGATCTGTTCTTTTTCAGAACAAGTTAATTTAAAAATGATAGGTAGCTTCCAGTTCAGAATTAGTTTTTCTAATAGAAAGGAGGGATGCATCTGGAAGAAACACCTTGGGGAGGAGAGAATTTTGCTTCAGAACAACATCATTACACACTGCCCACAGATTCTTAATGTTTTAGCTGTTTTTCTTTAAACAATAATCCCTTAACTACACACAATATTTTAATGACGAATGAAATATAATAACAAAATGCAGAACTGTTTTATTATAACCCTGGTTCAGTTACTATTGAAGTTGGTGCAAATACTCCTGTGGACTTTACTGAGCATTGGCCGATACCCTCTGTAAAGTGTGATATAGTATTTTGTGACCGTTGTCACCATAGAGAAGAGTATTTCATGCCATTGTGGAAGTATTCCAAACCAACAGCAAGCATATTCACACATGAAAGTTCAAATGCCATTCATTCCTTTTGCAGAGTTATTTTATCTGATTCTTTTGTTGAGAAAATCATGTATACACTACACATGAGCCTGCATACACGCATACATACACACATATTTTAATAGATATTACATTCCTCCCCTCTGCATTTACTCTTCTTCCCCATTGCACACTTAAGAGTTGCCATTCTAAAAGGGCTGTCAGTATGAGACTTCTGCAGTTCTGCCTGCACGGTTGGAGTAAGATAAAACTTCAAATGAGTAAAATCATGCAGGTATCATTTTATAAGCAGGAACCCACACCTGCTGTCAGCATGAATTTTGCAGGATAAGAACAAAATAGCCAAGAGAAACGTTCTTGCACTGGAAGCACTACAAATGAACTTTACATGCTGGAAAAGTTGATTAGATTTTTAGATTAAAAAAATTTGCAATTTTTTAATCAAACTCAACCCATCACAAGCCTCAGAGCATCACCAATGATAAGCAGAGTCTCTCTACTCTTACTGTACTCTAATAAGACTAGGACTATGGAAGTCCACATAAAAACCTAATGCCATTAACTTTGAGAAGGTTTGGGTTCAGACCCAAAATATTGTAAGTCCGTTTTTCTCAAAGTCTACACATCCATGCATTTTATTCAGCAAAAAAGAAAATGGCATACCTGCTTTATGATTCCCTCTTCCTCCTTTATATACGTAGAGCGTGGAGGGAAAAAAGAGGAAGGCTCATTAATTTGTTTGTTTTTGTTGTTGGTCTTTTTAGGCAGAACAATTTGATGATGAAGATTTCTTTAAAAAGATATTTTTCTTTACCATGACTAGGGTAAAGTTTTCCTTTTTTAGATGGTGAATTGTTTATAACATTCCAGTAAGAATCTGGCTTTGGGATGGCTGTGTTGCTGATGAGAGCTACTGGCAATAGAAGCTTTCTAACACTCAACTGCTAGTTTATTAAAAGAATAATAGGAACAGATGTTTTCAATTCATAAAATGTATCGAGTAAATGGTACATCCACTTGTTATTTCAATTCCTTTGAATTTTAGTGAACTCATTTGAGGCTAGGTTTTCAAAAGAGCTTAGCCCACTGTCGCCTCATTGTTCTCAGTATAAACTGATGGATGATGAACGTGTTTGAAAACCACAGCTTTTTATGCCTAAAGGGGAGCTGCTAACTACTGACGCTTCTAAAAATCTGGCCCACGTTTCCGATGAGTGAATACTGATCATTATAGAGGATTCGTATATGCAGTCTCTGAGTAATACCCTGCATTTGTCTGTGATTGTATATATGATGGCATCTTAATTTACTATTGCACTAGGCATTTTAATTTAAATTATGCTAATAGTGTAGGATTAACTGTGGATTATGATTCTAGCTTTTACTGTCATACAAACAGAAGAACCAGTTCTTTTGCTCCTACGGTCTCTTTCTCCCTTCTCATTCTGATGTATAGTAATTTGTACTCAAGACTGGCCTCAGGTTTTGATGAGGTTTCTTGTTTAAGCTGATGCAATTGCTTAGGGAAAGGGAGTTGTTGAAAATTAGAAAAAGAAGAGACTGGGATCTTTTTATCTTCTGATGACACATTTTTATGGTGCTGAAATGATTTACTGAAAATGATGATTTGAATGGGCTCCTGCCAGCATTGCACAGTGAGCAGTTCTGGTTTTGCCTTCATTCCTCTCTGCTAGGATAGGCTACATGTACTTTGCTTTTGCACTCTTGGATCAAATACATATTTGTGAAAATAAGTACTAGGGGGTTATATTAAAACCCTCACAAAGGTTGAAGAATAAATAATACATACAACAGACTGAGATGTTATGTTGGTCCTTGCTAGAGGAAATTGCAGGGGGCCAATGCTGTTGCTATCTCCAGTACTGAAAAAAAAGCTTTGTAGCAGCCTGAGATCATTCTTATGGAAGCATAACCTCTCCAGAGATCTCCTCCACTCCCAAACTGCGGATGTGCTGGAAACACAAATTTGCCTTGTTATGTTTGCACTTGTTTCATTGTGTAGCAACCTCAGATTGTCATGGCATGCAGCCTGTTTGCATTAGTGACTTGCTGTTGAATTCATCTGTATTCCTTCAAATCCCTCATTTGTTGCATTTTTTGTGGAGTGCTTGATATTTCTAGTGGCTTTGTGCTGTAGTAGCAGTCTAAAATTTGCCTTTTTTCTCTTTTTCCCTCCAGCTGATATTATTTCTACAGTTGAGTTCAACCACACTGGAGAACTGCTGGCTACTGGTGACAAGGGGGGTCGGGTTGTTATATTCCAAAGGGAACCTGAGGTATGTAAGTTACCAATGTAATCCTTAATAGTTTGCCAAAACCTGGCATTATTTTTGGTACTTTAATTGGATCTAACTAACAAACTTGTTTATAATCTCAAGATTCAGTAAAACAGAATGTCAGCTCTTTGGAGAGGAAGTGAAAGAGGGTAAGGATCTTTTAGTCAGAAGTTTGCTGTCCCAAACAAAAATGCTTCAAAGCTAAGAAAAAAGAAGGTTGGTTTTGGTTTACTTCTACATTGTTGTAATAACTTTTGCCTGTTTGATGGAGCCATTCCATTTAAAACAATGCCTTTGCTGTGATACCTTTATGTTTCACTTTTAAATTCAGTCCATCTGCAGCATCTTTTCTAGAAAGCTTTTCTGAATAATTGACATTTCTTAAAAAAATCTGCCTTTTATTAAATGTTGCTTCAGTACTTACAGGAAATTTCATTCCTGTAGAAACAAATCTGTCAATATCATGTTTTAAATGAGAAATTAAATCACGTTTTCAATATTTTTATATTTACAAGGCTGCTTATACAGCTTTTCTAAAAGATGGAGATATATGGTCATCATAAACCACATGTTTTTGTTGTTCTTATTCTCCATAGAGTAAAAATGAGCCTTACAATCAGGGGGAGTACAATGTTTACAGCACTTTCCAGAGCCATGAACCTGAATTTGATTATTTGAAGAGCTTGGAGATAGAAGAAAAAATAAACAAGATCAAGTGGTTACCACAGCAAAATGCAGCTCACTCACTTTTATCAACAAATGGTAAGATAGATGAGAGTATATACAACATATCAGCTTTTTGCTGTTGTGCATTTTAGTGCTGACTGTATATATTTATTCATTTTAATCTACTGTTTTAGTAATTTCCTTTTTCAGAGTTTACCAAGACTGTAATACTGACTCTGATATCTGTTATTTATGTATTGTATTCATAGTCATAGGGTTTTTCCTATTGACTATCCAGAGACGTTGAGAGAGCTATCAATTTTTGCTATTAACATGCAATGCTATCCTGAAATAAGTTTTATGACAAAGGCATCACCTTACTCAGCAGCTGTGTTTCACTGGGGATTTAGAATTTTGTCTGCTGTATTTGTCATAACTTATATTCTTTGTAGGTGTGTAAATGAATGTAGGTGAGAGAGATGAATTTCTTTTTCTTTTCATTCATTGTCATCAGAATGGTTTATTTAAGTTCTAAAGAGTTAGACAAATCTTTGGAAGGCAGTAGGAATAATAATAGGATATTGATACTGACTCATCTTTCTAACATCCTTAAGGCCTATTGATTTAAAAAATGCAGTATCGTTGCTAAGAGGGAACATGCAGATGTGACATAGGGGGAAGAAACTGAATGGAGCCTTACATGTACAGGTGTCATTTAGGAAACATTTTGACACCCACAACCTTTATCACTGCTGGTGATGCATGAGACAAAAATATCTGATTTTAAATCTGAGATCTCATTGTAATCAGAAAAGAATTTTGCTTGTAGAAGGTTGAACATATTTGGGAGTTGCTGATAGAAAAATAGTGTGATCTCACCTTTGGGAATTGATGCTTTAGGGCAAAGTGAGTATTTCTAGTTAAAATTTATAGCAATAAATAATATTTACATTAATTCACAGTAGATAGCAAATTATTTTATGCTTTGTAGTCTGTTTTCCTTAAAGTTGTCTTTTGACTTTTTGGGGGCACTGTTGCAATATTTGAAATGAAACATGCCTATTATAGCTAGGTGATTTGTGCTAATTTAATGATTAATCAGATAATTAAGAAGTTTGGGAGATTACTTCTGCTCTTCTCCCTTGGTCAAAATATCCCTTCTACTTCAGATAACTTTAAATAAGAATGGCATCTTCCAAGTGCATGATACAAAGTCAGATTATTGAAAGTAAACCTCTCCCTTTTCATTTTAATGTTTGGTTTTGGAAACACTGAGGAATACAGCCGAGTCTTCAGATACGCTGCTTTTACAGTTGGCATAATAGACCTTTATATCAGTTTTCTGGTTTACACTAATATGGGAGGGGAGAAAGGAAGAAATAATCAGTCTTAGTGTTGCTATGGGTTAAGCCAGTTGCAGACACCACTGAGCAAACCTAGGACCTGGCAAAATGCTTTGGCCTCTGTTTTTTCCCCCTTAATTCTGAAGCATCTCAGCAGACTTCGGTATGGTGAGGAGAACAGAAATGGTGCCACTGGCATAGCCTTTGGATTTTTGCCTTTGAATTACAAAATGTGTTTTGTGTGCCAAGGAGGATTCCTAGCTTCCTGGCACAGCAGGGTTGAAGTCTGAAGATTCACCTCTTGGCATACTCTTAAAGATAGTTTTAACTTTATGATACAGAAGGCCCATGTTGAATTCCTTGCTGTCTCACTGATTACCTGTGAGAAGTCATCGACAATGTATATCAATTCCATGCCTATAAAAAGGGATAATAGTATTTTCCCTAAAATGTAGAGAATGAAGGCATTACCTGTCACACATGCTCATATTGGGCAGGCTGTAGAAACACCTTGAATACTGGTTTATATTTACTAATTTCTGAGACTGATATTTTAATGCAATTTTGGATATTTTGCTCTCTGGTAGTTTAGGTTCTAAAGCACAGTTTTGGTCAGAAAAATGAGAACTGTGAAACAGCATCCTTTCTTTCCGCAGGCACAGGTGGACAGTGCCCACTGCATTTGCTGGAAGGAGCATCCTTCTGTTAGGGAACACGGGGGGAGAGTCTGTCTAAATCTCACCCTCAGTGTATGAGACTTGACAGGTCTGCACCTGCCCAAATCTGTTTCCGTCTTTCTAAGCAGAACTTTTGTCTGAAGCTGTTCCTGCACAGGTCACCTCCCCCAGAGAGGATCTTGGTTCCTTTCCAGTTCACACGTTACCAACAAGTCATCAGCTAAGCTTTGGTTGCAGTGTCTTAATTAATGGAGGCAGAAGGAAACCACCAAGGCTTTTGAATCCCACTGTGCATTTGCAGTGCTTGCAGTTAGCAAATTTCTGGTTTGTGCTGTAAACTGAACTGATTTTGTAGTATAATAATGAATTAGGATTCATTGGTAGCTTTTGTACCAGAATATTTTGGGGCCACTTTCGATGTGAGCTGCATCAAGTAGATCAGGATTTGGCCTATGCAGATTCTTTCATCTGAGGATTTATGACTGCTTACCAGACGTTAATTAATTTAAACTTCACAATGCCCTTGAGACGGAATGAATACTGAACCTCACAGAGAATGTTTCCATATTTTGAGAAATTTCTAGGGAGTTTTTAAAGTCCAGAGGCAGATAAAGGAGAAGAAAACCAACACATGAGATACCCTTAACCACTAAAAAAATAGTTTTCACTCAGGAAAGGGATAGGTTTATCAATAGTGGTCAAGTCCAACACTGGAAAATTGTGGTTTTTCTTATAATTAATTTTACAATGCTGTATTTATAAATTTTAGAATAGACAAACACGAATGCACTATTTACATGTAATAAAAATCCCAAGTTCATGACATGGCCTATATGTATTTTTAGTAATTAATTAACGTGACCGACACAGATTAAATGTATTGGATATTTAAATGGATCTTTTTAGTTGCAGATTGAACTAACCTCTTGTTCTGTAGATTGAACAATTGTAATATTTTTGTTGCTTGCAAATTAGCATATCAGTATCGTTAGGAGTTGCATAATAGTAACAACACTCAGAGTAGTGGAGGGATTGATTTTGAAACAAAAAAAGGTCAAAGTTAAAGTTGCTGTAGAAATGCAAAGCAATTCATGTATTCTTGCCTTTAAAATTATTTGTACTAACATTTGAAAGAAGTATTTGAATCAGCCACACTGGGGAAAGAATTATGCTCTGCTAGGTACTTGGGGAAAGAAGGGTAAAGGAAGAAAGTGGAAAGAAATCAGAAATGATGCAGGAACTGAGGTCAGCGAAAACTGGTGGCAGCTGAAGTGCAGAAGCTTTGGAAAGGCTTTCACTGCTCTGAGAACAGATGAGTGAAACAACTATTAGAAGCTTGGGGACAGATTTTTTTTGCAGAAGAGTTGGCTTTGATTTTTCAGCCTAGGGAGTCTTAGGGTTGGCAGGTTGGGTGTACAACCAGAGCAGGAGTGGGCAGTCAAAGTGAAGGAAATCTGTATGTTCAGCTACTAGAAAAGCAAGGACAAACTCCATCTGAAATGTTTAGAACTTCTATTTGTTGGTTTCAGAGGCTCTTCGCTAAACAAGAGGCACCCTTATTCTATCATCATATGCTTCTCCCATCATGAAAAAGGGAGAGTTTAGATTTAATTCCATTCTGTGTAAGATTAATATATTTTTCCTCCCCACTTCTCTCTCTTACCCTTACAACACAATTCTCTCAGGTTTTTTTTCATTTGTTATTTCTCAGCTGCTTTCCCGTAGGAGGGAGAAACGTCTCATTTTTTCACAGCCTTTTGTTTGCTGGAGCTCCTGATGTTATATCAATACACCACTGCCAATTCCCACAATGGGCCAGGCAGGTATCATTGGTCTCTCTGTCCACTCCATGCTCTTGTGCTGTTTATAAGTAACCTAGCAAACTGGCTTTAATACCAAGTTTATTTCCTTGCAAAGTCAAATTATCAAACTGAGCTTCAGCAGTGAGCATTGAGTGGTTTTGGTCTGTTCCACCTGCAAACTTCCAAATTGGATATCAGAGCAGCATGTGCTCTACATGGTCTGTCAGCTGCCAGGAACCTCTGACTCGGTTTGAAGGTATGACATGTGCTTTATGAGTATTTTTTCTGTTGGCAGCATTTTCTGGATATGCAAAATTAAGTGACCCAAACTGTTTCAGCACGGGACTTGTCTAAACTAAGGGGCAGAAACTTCTTTAAGGAATATATTGTGAAAGGGGAGTAACCACATTCAGAATTCCTATGCTGACAGTCGTTTGTATTATCTTTTAAAGATAAAACAATCAAGTTATGGAAAATTACTGAAAGAGATAAGAGACCAGAGGGGTACAACTTAAAAGATGAAGAAGGAAAACTTAAAGATCTTTCTACAGTAACATCACTGCAGGTAAACTGCTGTCTTTGTCCAAAATCCAGGTGTTCCTGTACGAAAAAGGTAGTCACGGGTGCTAACTCAGTAAAAGATTTAAATACGTACCTGATGCTAAGCATATATATGATTATTCTCATTGAAGTTTTAGCTGATCGATAATGCTCTTGAATCTGTCACACATTTTCAAGTCATAAATGCTTTATTATATAGTGACCAACACAAATATGTTTAGAGAGTCTATGTCAGTTTTATTCTTCCTGATAAAATTCTCTCAGCGTGACTTAACATGCTTTCATACAGGATTCTTTAGACTGGTGCACTGGAAGCATTCTGCTTGTAATTAGTATTAAACAGTGTTCTTGCCTCGTTCAGAGCAACTGAGTTAAAGACAGTACACCAAATTTCAGTCCTATCTTTATTTCAGTAGTATAAAAGAAGTATCTTCTATCTGGAGAGCAGGATTTGCAGTAGTCTGTGCTCCAGTGAACGTGAGGTTCTGCATTGCTGAAAAGATGCAGTCATGGAACTCATATAAGCGTGTATGACAATGTAATAGAGTTTTGCTCTCGGTCTTTAATGGCTGAATTCACCCCAGGTGTTTTGGCAAAGGAAGTGGCTAAAGATTAGAACTGAAAGACTAGTTTGTGTAAATGCTAGGGTTTTTTTTTGTTTTTGTTTTTTTTTATTAAAAACAACCAACCCTTGCCTCCAAAACAAGCCAGTATTGTCTGCTGTGAAAAAAGCCTCCAAGGTGTAAAGATGACTACATTAATGGAATATTCATCCATTCTATATGATTAAGCAAACAAAACCATTTCAGATTGCTTATAGTCAAAGAATTCACAGGCTCAGCAAACCATTGTTTCGTTCCTTTAGTGGCAAGCGAAATTCCAAGCTTTAACTTGTCTGTGTTCCTCTTTAACTATCTTGTGGATTGATGTATGATAGATTGTTTCTGATACGTGTTCAACGACATCAAATAGTCCCAATCATGGACCACAGCCTTACAGTGTTTAATGCTTTAACAATAGGGAATAAATTGATAGTGTCTAGTTATTGAAGCATGACATTGAAGTGACACACAGGGAAATAACAAGAATGCAATGATGAGTGATAGTCTGTGGTCTTGGCTTTTCAGGACTATACTGTATCCATGTGGGTTTTGTTTTCTAAGACTTTGTTTATTATGTTTTGCTGAGATTATAACCTTCTCACCACTTGACTTTTTTTGAAAGAGAGAAGTCAAATAGCAAAATAAATCCTGTAAGTGATTTACAACTAACAGCAGACTCTTTGGCAAAAGCAAAATACTAGGACTTCACTGCTTGTCAGAGCCAGAACCTCCTGCGTATGTGGGACTGGCCTGTTCTGTGGCAGCTGCCAGTGCCTCCCTTCACACGGTCGAGGTTTTCCATGGCTCTGCCTGGCTCTCCACGGCTCTTCTGTCTCTCCCTTTCTCCTTGGCAGGGATGGCCTTGTCAGCAATTAATCCATGGGGAAATTCAGCTTCCATACAATGTTGAGAAGTTTTATAATGTCACAGTCTTTGAATGCTTGTTCTCCATTGAAACTCTCATCATCCTAGCAAAAGATTATTTAAAATCTCACTCCCTTTCTGGTTTGTGTTTTGGTTTTTTTTGGCAGGTGCCTGTATTGAAACCTATGGATTTGATGGTAGAAGTCACTCCCCGGAGAATCTTCGCTAATGGTCACACCTATCATGTCAACTCAATATCCGTCAACAGTGACTGTGAGACATACATGTCAGCGGATGATCTCAGGATTAACCTCTGGCATTTAGCAATCACAGATAGGAGCTTCAGTATCCTTTATTGTGATTCCTTGCTCAGTGTTGATAGTATTAGTGGGGCTTTAAAGAGCTGTTTTAAAATATTTTTCTGCAGATTTTAAAATATACCTTTACTGATCAGAATCCCTGCAGTATTTGTAACAGAAAATGCTCACATACCGTAAGAGACAACTAAGAGGTTGCAAAAATCAGGGAATTTTATGTGAAAAATAACAGTCTTGGAGTTGGCAAATGACAAGTAAATAGGAAACTGATGCCAGATGAATGGTAACTATCCACCTGACTAGGATACTCTATACTGTTATTTCCTGAAGGCATTTCACGTTGAGCTACTCCACCTTGTTTTGCTGAAAGGTCAGTCCTTACCCTGACCATGCCCCCTGTTCTCCATCATCCTGCTTCCCAGAACCCTAATGTCTGAGATATGCGTGGTTCAGATATGCACAGGTAAGGCTCAGCTGCTTCATGTGAGTTGCTGTGTCTGTGATTAATGCAGTCATTGCTGTATCAAGTGCTAGCATCGTCCTGAAAGCTGTGTCTTGGGATCATTCCACTCCTCTCTGAGGCTGCCTTTTGCACTGCAACAGGGTGGCTTGGCAAAAGAAAATGTAGCCAAGAAAAGTGGTTGTCTGTGTTTTGCAGAACATAAAGGGACCTTTAAGAAGAGAAATAGGTTATGGGGCCAGCTCAGAATGTTGTGTTACTTTGGTGATTTCTTTTTATTTCAAAAGGTGTTAGAAGAATATTTCCCTGTGGATTTGTATGAGGGACTATTAGATGTCAAAGTGAAGTTGTCTTACGGGGGGCAAATTCCTAAAAGAAAGCACCGATGTGATGGGGTGTTCTCCCTGTCTCTGGTGATTGTTTGTATTTCTTCCTTCATAGGTCAAATCATCTGTGGAACTTAATGAAAATGTTTCCTGTGACATTAACAAAGCATAGGAAATCAAACAACTGTTCCTTAAAAAACTGCCTTTGCAGGATCAAGTGACAGGTGCCTTAACCCTAGGGATTGTAGGGAATATGTTTCAATATGTTCTCAATATGTTTCTGAACTCATCTTCTTTTCTGTCTTTCACCTGTCTAGTTTGAGCAAGCTAAATGGTGTCCTCTTTAATATGACTGTTTATGTAGGACCAATTTATATGTGGTTCTTCAAAGTCCAGCCATGTCTGCCTTCGATATCCAAGCAACTGTACTTCCATTCTTTAGCACGAGAGAACAGAGTGGGAAAATTGTTTGCCAGCATGCCTATATGGAGTAGCAGTGTGGCATCTGACAGTGCCCTCCACACTGTAGCTTCACCCTACAGTCTTGTCTCTGTCCTGGACACTTTTATACATGGCTACTGTGTGTTCTTCTCTACTGTGTATCCTCTTTCTTCTAAAGCAGAGCGGTGAGCGAGACCAAGCACAGCAATCTCTGTATGTCTGTGTATGATAACCAGATCACATTCCAGAATACTTATGCAAGATAAGCCTTTGCTTTTGGCAATCCCTCTTATTGTGTTACAAGCTGTTTTATAAACTATGGATTGCCAAGAGAAATGTTTCTGACAATTTAAAAAAAAACAAATAGTTGTTATAGTTCGTGAGGACAACACGAGTTTTTATTGTCATTTGCCATGCTACGAGCTTACTGACTGAAATATCAGCCCCAAATGAATTTTTAAACCCCAAATGTGTGTAAATCCTTGGAAAAAAAAGGATTACTATGGGAGTATTGATACAATCAGAACAAAATTATTGTGAATATTGTAGTGTAAAACAATTCTTAGCATTTATGCAGAGCTTTTTATCTTCACATCCTTTATATATGTTGATTGATTAATCCTTACAAAAGATTAAGAGGCTGGTAGATAGATGAATTTGTCTACCACTTTGTGGATGAGGAAGTGGAGGCAGAAAATTTAAAGAAATTGCTTATGAAAACTATACATTTCATAGCCCTGATTAACAACATTTCATTTGCCCTTTGTATGAAAACACTTGTATGCAGGCTTCAGAAGTACTTGGCCTCCAATGATGTTTCAAATTCTAGCAATATACTAGGAAAGAGCTGAAAAACAGACCTAGTCTTATGATGGTTAACTACTACCATATGTCTTGATGGAACAGCATGGATAGCAAAATTAATTGAGATTGAATAACTGTTTAGGATGTTACTGCTTCTACTCCTGTACGTTCAACTCCTGTATTCGGTGACAGGTGCGTGGATTCTGTTTCAAGCATTAGCACACTCCTTTCATTGAATATTTACTGATAAAGTGTTTTAGAGTTTCTGATTGAATCATTGTTTTAACTCTTAAAACATGATACAATTTATAGTAGCATGCTCAATTTCTGAGTGTGTTCCAAGAGTAATGATGAGGGAGACATGAAGAGTGCTGTTCTGAGTTTTACCGTAGGAAACTCTTTCTGTATCTGAGACAGTGGCTTTGGGATACTTACAGGGATGACTTTAGGATAACTGGATTTTTGTCCTGGATTGGAATACAGATATTGCTGCTTCTTTTAGATGAACATGAACAAACATCGGGGAAGGCTGTGATGAGAGAGTTTAGGTGGTGATAGGAGAGAACACTAGGTAAAGGGATGATCGATGCTAGAGGCCAACTGTTCTATCTCACCTGGCCATGGTGGCAGTAGATTGACTTTTGTGGCTGGATAGCAGCATGTGTTCAAGAGAGCAGACCGAGTTAAATAGGCTGTATCCGCGTCTGTCTCACACAATATAAGCTGTATCTGTACTCAGTTGTCCAAACCAGATCATCAGGCAGATTGCTTTTACTTAACTCTTTGATAAACAGAAAAGTTGAGATGAGTGTTCCAAAGGAAGGTGGTGAGACAGTTACAGAATATTGCTCATATTGGGGAATTAACTGGGAGACCACGATAACTGGTAGAAGGGGATGAGTAAATTAAACTTGCATCAGTCTTTCCACAGGTATCTTTTTTTTCCATATAGAGCCCTGTAAGTCTTTGTAAAATTGCGGGGACATGCATTCCACTAGATTTCAACATCTGTGCCATACAGAAACTGCATTTCTGTCCTACAGAACAACCAGTTACATAAAAATCTCCTGGAAGCAGATGAGCTGGTAAAAACATGGGGTGTGCCGGTTGCATTTGGGACTAGACATATTAAGATGAAAAAATTCTGCCAAGCAAACAGTTTAAATTATAAATGAATGTTGCTGGGCTCGGTGCCTTCTGCAACACACTTAGGGGGACAAGCAGGAGGAGGCTCAGGCAGTTTTTAAAAATGCTTGCTTCACATCTTTTTACTAGATGCAAACTGGAAATGAAGCATCTCGCTGTTCTACATGCAAGGCTTGATTCCTTGAAATACATGTTTTAAACAATAAATAGAAAACATTTTGGTTTGAAGTGGCATTTGTTAATAAGGGATCTGGCAGTGATGTGTGTTTGTCTTTCTACTTTCCCTCAGAGGCAGCACTGCTACATATAATGAACTACAATCTGTTTACCCAAGAGGCTGGTTGTGACAATGACACAAACAACAAATACAGTGGTAGAGTTTCTGGACATTCAGCTCGTGTTTGAACATCTTTACAAATGGCATGGGAAGTGCTGGAGAAAGAATGGCTTAGCAGCGGTGTGCTAGGGTGTTTTTCAAGTAAAGTACTTTGACTTACAGGATTTTACTTGAGAACAGTTGGGTTATAACCATTATTTTAGCAGTTTTACAAATCACTGAGAATTGTTCATTTCTTTGAAAATAAAAAGACAAAGCAATGCAGATCTTAAGTTAATTCTCTTTCTGTCTTCTTTGGAAAATATTTCAAATCAGCTTTGCAGAATTTAACCAGAATGTTTGCCTTAGGTAAAGCCTTAGGCAAATAAAATACAATTAGTGGTTTTCTGGTTTGCTTTTGTATTAGCATAAATGCTAACTGGGGTAAAAAGCAGACAAGTGAGTTTTATGCTACAGCTGTGTAAATTTTCATGAAGAATATGCAAGACTTCTGTACATTGCTTCCCACTTGCAAACAGATTTGCTCAGTATCGTTCGGGCAGGAGGAGGGAAGGAAGACAAGGAGGTGAGAGAAAAGGAAGGGGAAAGGTCAGGTGGTAAATAATTGCACATATGAGGGTTTTCTTCGCTAAAAGCTTTAATGTGTTTGGTTGTGTTATGGAGAATGAGAGTCAGTGTACTTAATTATGGATGATACTCTTCACTGGAAAATAAGTGAGGTAAAGGTTACTGGTTTTGTTAATGTTCGGTCTGAAATGGCTTAGCAGTGTTGCCCATACTTAAGCCTTTAGATAAGTCATCTTGGGTGTGGTGAATGAGAAAACAGGACTGCTGGAAGCATACTGATAAGGCTTACTTCACATCAGCAGCAATCTTTGGACTATCTAGCCGTACTAAATATTCTTTATGAGAATGTATTTGGGTTGCTCACAGAACTATGTAGCTCATAGCACTTGAACTCCCTTCATTTCCTGGTAGCACTCTATTTCACTCTGGAGGCTGTCATGGCATTGCTATGGAAACAACATCACCGTTTCCAGCATGTACTCATCTTGAGACTCATCTTGACTAAAATACGCATTTCTCAGTCAGATCAATATAGTCCAGGGTTATCCTGTTTTAATAAAAAATTCCTTCCTCCGCGTCCCAAAAGGGTTAAGCTAATTAGCAAATCACCATAGGGCCTTCTTATAATCTAATGTATTCCAGTATTTGAAGCATATCATGGATAGTCAGATCGTTAGGCATTGTATCTTGGGGAAATTAATTTACTTAAGAAGTAAACAACAACAAAACAGAAAAGAAATAGAAAAAACAAAATAACGTGGTACATTGGTGGAGGCTAAGTCTGTGGCAGCCCACCTGAATATAGTGCACGTATAGTGCATATATAGGGCATATGTAGTGCTCTGGGAGCAGCCCCCAGGCTGGGGAAGATAGCTAGCCTTACGAAATTCCTGTTACGTGCCTCAGTGCTAAGTATTTGAATGCTAAACTGAAAGCAAATCTGCAGT